AGGGCGGGCAAGCCGGGGCCGGTCTCCGCTCTCCTCCCCAGCTGCGTGACGTCGGGCCGGGCGGCTGTCCCTGGCTTTCCATTGCCTCGCTGCGGCTGGGAGCCCAACCAGTGTCTTCTCCCTCTTCACCACGAAGTGGCTTTTACTGTTCCCTCCAGACCCCTCGTTATCCACCCTTTCTCCCCCAGCCCTGCTAAGCTTGGTGCACGCCCTGGCTGCCTGGCTGAGCCTGCTGCCCCTCACTTTGCAGAGTAAAGGACACAGCAAGCAGATCCTGGTGCTGGGCCTGGATGGGGCTGGGAAGACCAGCGTGCTCCACTCCCTGGCAACGAACCATGTCAAGCGCAGCGTGGCTCCCACCGAGGGTTTCAATGCCATCTGCATCAACACCGAAGAGTCCCAGATGGAGTTCTTGGAAAGTGAGTGGCCTTGTTTTAGTATAGGACATCAAATAAGTTCCTATCCTGTGCCCTAGGGATTAGGCCCATATTTTAAAACCTTTATATTCTCTCGTACCTGGTCTGATACATGAAGTAGTGATTATTTTCTCCTTGGGGGTTCTGCTTTCCCACCCCGCATCTTGAAGGAGAGGATATACTGGTGTTAGAGGAGGTCTATGTTCATTCACGCCTGTCCTCCAGGGAGTTCTGCCCTTGTGAGACGGAAGGGTAACAAGCCTGATTGCGTGAAGCCAGCCCAAAGCAGAGGTGCCCCAGTAAGGCCTGCGTTGTGATCTGTAGTCGTTGTGTGTTGTAAAGCTTCTCCTTGGTGCTCATGCCTGGAAAGGGCAAGCGCAGAAGAGGAATAAATAATGAAGAGAGAGGAAAGAGAAAAGCTTTGTACACTTTTTGTTCAAAAGCCTCATAGGTGGTGTTTTCTAGTCCTTAACGGCTTTTGTATGTCTCTAGGTTTTCACTAAACTTTTTGTGTTGTCCTTTGCACTGATTTTTGGGTATTGTCTATGCCTGCAGAGAGCATCTCCTGGGATGCTTTTGGGGTGTCACAGCCATTGTAGCTGCCACTAGCTGGTGGGGAAGGGGGAGGGGCGCCCCGTCCTTTCTGCCTGCCACTAGCTGGTGGGGAAGGTGGAGGCCCTGGAGTGAGGTCAGTCCCTGGTACAGAGGCTGACATCTGAGCCTCATCGGGGCCTGCCTTCCCTGGAGGCAGAAGCTGCCCTTTGCTTCCTGCTGTCTCTGCACTGTGCTGTACCAGGGCTTGACTGGCTCAGGTGGCAGTTTGCCCACGGACACCTCCGTACCTTTGCAGCAGGCCTAAAGGAGTTGTGCTGTTCCCAGGTAAGTCTTTGGGATGTGAGGATGAGGCCGCTGAGGCAAAGTTTAATTCCCAGTCCTACCACCAGAGGAGTCTCTGTGGTGTCTTAGGGAAATCATCTCTACAGAGATGCTTGTAGCCTGTGCCCTCTCCTAGTAGGAATGAGACACCTATGACTCCTACTGGGAAGTGCTTTGTGTAGCTGAGCCCAGAAAAACCCACAGTATCTCTGCTCCTGCTTGGGGGTGGCCTGGGCCCAGCACCGTGCACTCCATGACAGATCCTGTTGTTTCTGAGTCATCCTTCCCTCTCTGGTCCAGGTTGGTAGTGACTAAGATGTGATGGCTGCGAGCTGACCCATGGGAAATGAAATGTCTCAGGCCAGTCTCAGCCAGGTAAATCCGTGCATGGCTCTCTAATCTGGTTACTTATC